GGTGGAGGCGGAGTTTGTGGCCACTGGAGGAGTTCGGTTCGAAATGTGGTAGGGCGACCTCAGGCGATGCCGGGGCAGAAACCCTGACAAGGGTATCTGCCCTGTGTTTTCAATGTCCGGCGTTGTCCGACGGTCAGTAAGATGTTATTTGAAAGGTTTGACTTGATGAGATTGAGGTTTTGTGAAAGCTTATTCGGACCTGACCATTGATCAAGAGGCTGAAAGTCCGGATGCCTGCGGCCCGCGGAAGTGACGGTCGGTGTTGTAGTCAACCACTCTCCGCATTGGGCAAGGCCGCAAAGGCAGGTGGCCGGTTGAAATTCTAGATCTATACCTATCCTATTTAAAGTTGGGACGGACGGCTGCTAAGCCGCGCAATTCCGAGTCTAAACGGCAAAAGCAAAGGGCCACAACGGGTTCGGTCCGAGCGGTCACATTGGGGGCATGGGGGCCTGGTGTTTTGGCATGCCGGGCTGGGCATGCGTCCAGGCTATGAGCCGGCGGTGAGCGGGGACACAGGTTGAGCCTGCTGAGCCACGGGGGAGGACCTACTGTGACAGCACTAACTCCCATAATAGGAGCTAGCCTAGTAGGGTACAACACTTAACTTTCCCCTGGCACGTACCAGGTTCGAATCTGAAGCGTGTTCGTCTGGGCTAGCTCCTTTTTAGAGCAGCCTAGGACGAAGGGTTGTCGAAGCCCGGTCGATCTCAGTCACCCTGTCGGTGCGAATACCCTTACACGGTGTAGGGTCTAACCCCGTTAGACTTTCGAGCCTATGTCGACCCCACTGCGGGTCCCAATTGGCTCGGCCCGCCCACGCTCATGCTCAGGGCACGGGCCATTCGTCATGGGGCCAACCCCACCTAGTGCTTTGAGATTGATGGGGGCGGGCCATCGAGCGAGAGAGCTTTGACATTGGGGATGTAGCTCAACCCTCACGTCGGGTGGTAGTCTCACTGATCGTTTCGGAAGCATAAATTTCTTTTGATTCTTGATTATGTTCGCAGGCAATTGCTCCTTCCAATGCTCAACCAGTCCAGAGGTTCTTTGAGATTTTCTCTTCGTCTGTGC